AAACGTGTAGCACGTGTACAGTATGTGTCTAAGAGAGCGAGATACAGCTGGAATGATGTTACTAAAATCTAACCTCAATTTGAAACCGCAAAACCTTCATTGGATATTTTCTCTGAAACCTACAGTTCCAAGAATATTTAAAGTAGCAATTTTCCACGGACCATGCTGCACAAGAGTACGCGGTACTAAATGTAATACTTACTAACAGCTAACCTCAATTTTATACTGAGCAACCCTAATTGGGCTTTCTTTGATCGTACTTGTCTAGCTACAAGAATATTTAACGTGGCAATTTTAGTAAAGCACGTGTACTTGAAACGTAACTCCAATTTTACACTGTACAACATTCGACATATATTTTGATAGCTCCAATCCTGGGAATATTTAAACTGTTAGTTTTCACGAAAACACTTCAAACCACAATTCATGATATTAAAATTTAATACTTCATGAAACATAACTCATTGGATATAATTTATTCTTCAATTTCGACACTACGTAAAATAGTTTTATCAAAACTATTTGTTTAAATTCGTTCAACTTTAAGAATAATAAAAATGGAGAAATGTAGCAGATTAAAACTGAATACTTCCCAAAAACCTAACGTTCATCATACAATCTTGTCCGATCACATTAATATTCTCCATCCTACGCCCCCCTAAGCAACGATCAACGACATTAAATCCGCAGGAAAACCAAACCTCGACCGAACGCTTCGATTCATTGATAAAAATTTCCCCCTCGGCTTGTCCGACTCGAAGAATATTTAAAGTGGAAAATTTTACCAGACCACCCCACGCAAGAATTCAATGTAATCCACGTTACAAGATCAAGCGCGGAAAGTCCGCGCAGAGAAGGAATTTCATTGCCTTTGTTCGAGGGAAGGAAGTCAGGGCAGCGTAGAAGACAGAGAGAAATAAGAGCGCGAATAGGATGAAAAAGCGACGGGAAAAGGGGAACCGGGTAGATAAAGAAAACCGAGATTATACATCAAGTTCACCGCGACGAAGGAGTCGGTAGGACAGCGAGAGCTGGTACGTTGCCGATGCCACTTGAGGCTGAATCGTATCTAAATGTGCCTCGTATATCAGAAATCGAACTGTTCCGCGGTACTGGTACACAGGCGGTTTACTTGCATCATTTTGTGCGGTCGCCGTTCCGTAATACCGCCGCTGCAGATGCGCCCAGGTCGTTCCACATTTCCCTCGACGTCGTGACAACCTACACGTGAAAGTTTCCTTTCCGTACTTCCTCGAGTTGGCTCACGGGGGGAATCCTGTGTTTTAGTATGAAATGATGTAGCGTGCCGGTAAAACGATGCACTGGCTGATAAATCTCGTCGGATTTATGGCGATATAAAGCTATTTCGTTTCCTTAAGTACAAAGGCACGTCCTCCGGCGAGGCGGAAGATTTTCGCTTGCGGCGGAAGTCGCGCGATAAGGGGGCGCCGAGATGGATAACCCGTTGATAGAAATTGAGCCCGGATAACTCGCCGAAAAGTAGAAACGCTCGGTTAAAAGGGGGATAGCGGGTTCCAAAGCAAGCACGTTAACGTCATACGTTCTATGCTACCAGCAGAAATTAAGAGATTTATGGCCGCGAGCAATCTCTCTCTCGAGATCTACATCCCCACCGTTAAAAAACGAAAACAGTGGGTAGATGCACTGGAGCGTTGCCAAAGTGACGCGCATTCGAGGATCGACAGTCTCGGTTCAATTCATTTACCGCCTTATCTAGCGCGGCGCGTTCAACTATCGCCGCGCACTCTTTTATTGATAAGCAATTGGGGATTGTCTCGAATGACAGGACTATAGGTATCGCGGAATCTGCTCGGACAGAGTGCTTGAGATGAAAAACGGCGTTCCTGAGATGAAGTAAACAGGAATTAATTTAGCACGTGAGGAATCAGACATTAGGATATACATGTATTCAATCCCATAAGTATTTGTACCCTCTATATCTATTGAAGAAATTTGTCTAATTTAAATGATAGGCTTCATGTTCCCAAATCAATTTTTCATTATAAATATATACGCCTAAAACTTCCCACATATTTATATATATTTACAATTACAAATTTCTTTTTTGAAACATGGAGCATTTATTTAAATTCGACAAATTTCTTAAATAAATATAGAGGGTACGAATAAAAGATATTAGAGTTTTTAGGAAACTTAGAGCTCATTCGTGTAGCAGACGAATTAATTCAGAGCACGTTTGATCTGTTTCGTCAACGATTCTAAATTTCTCTTCGTTAAGCACACTTGGCGATTGGTATCTGCCGCGTGTTCGAATGGTCAGAAATTCCAACAGCTTGCGATGTTGTGTACCGATATTTTTCATAGCGAACCGAGCGATGCGGAAGAGAGCTCGTTAAACGAATGGTAAAAAGCAAATGATAACAGCGATCAATACCACGGCCTACGTATGACGTTTCCTTCCGTGGTCTGGATGCAACCGATAGCTGCGTTCCCTTATGCGAATGCTGCGGAATCGATCGGTACCGGTAATTACTCGTTGGTATCGTTTCCATGTTAGTCGGTCGACATGGTAAATTATTTCCCGAGCCGAGCGGAAGTAACAAAATCCGTGATTTACTAATTGACCCCCTGTCACAGATCACAAATACTACTTTGACGCGAGGGAGATCGACGTTCGAAGCGTATAATCTAGGAGACCGTGTCCTCGATCGTTCCCTCAAACGAACTTCTTCATCGCATCTCAGACTTTTTGCCGTAATTATCCCTTACGGTGCAAGAATGGGGACGAAGATTCCTCGTTTTGTTGAACGAATCTTACTGGAAGATGGAAGTACGCCGTCGTATTAACTTTGGAGCACCACTCTGGGGTCCAATGTACCCCCACGAGTGTAACTTCTCTGAGCTTATGTCTTTTTTACAATTTTCGGGGATGCACTTTGCTCGAAACGTAGCAAGATTGAGTTGAAATTTCCGCGCGTCAGTGTTTTACGGGAGCAAGAATAATGATTGCCATCGGGACGTCACTAATGTACCTAAATCGAGGGATCGTGATACTCAGGGGTTTACTGTATGGACAAAGGTATAGTTAGGACTTGTGAGTAAGGAAAACTTATATGTTCAGAGGATTGTAGGTTAATGCAATTATAAACGAGTATGCAACTACGGTATAGTAAAACTAAAAAAGAATCCAGAGTCTAGTATATATCGATACAGTATACATAACGCAGACAGTTAAGATTCGATGCTGAGGAACGCCATGACGCTTCACACTTTCGGAACACATCAAACGCGAGCATCGAGCGACACCGTGGAAACAATACAAGAAGAAGAGGAAGCTGCTTAGTCTTCCGATAAAATTCTATTCGTACCTGCAAAGTGCTTACGATCCGACGATGCTCCATTATCTCGTAATGCGGTAGCATTATAACGAGTAAGTGGTACCTGTCTTCTACATGTAGGCCCCGGAAGTGGCCGCTGATTACTGTAATGCGCGTACCCCTCAGCCCGTAACGAGGAACATCTTCCTACTGTCTAGCGTTCTGCGAAAGATTCCACATCACGGATCGTGTCGATACCGCAAAAGGAAGAAACGTCCATTTGTGTTGCGGTCGCGACTGCGGTCGCAACCTACAGTCATTAAAATTAGTTACAGGCATTAGCCAACGAAACCATTCGGAGACGGGTAATTGAATATCTTTACGCCTCCTGGCGAATTTCGCCATTCGAGGAACCACACTACTCCTATGTCTATTCCAGGGAAAACTTTTCGACGAATCACGATCGGAAACCCTCCCCTTGTTCGTAACTCTACCAGAGATTAATTATGATTTCGTAGGGGAAGGGTGACACGGTAGCGACACTAGGGCGGAGAAATTATTGCGCCACTTAGGGGTCCCTCTTGGCCGCGGTGAATCGACGGGATAAGAATAACGAGCGTTCGTGACACTTTCGTTCGCTGGAGGAATAATAAACGTTGATCGGGCGTCGATGTGACGCTGGATCATTGAATTAAGATATTGTTGAATCAAGTATGAAGTGGCGAAAGTTCCTTGCTGAGGGGAACATTTTTCAAAGAATCCTTTCGATACTAGGAATGTGAAAAAGATGATTTTAATGAGAGGTTTATTATTGTCTATACTTTCGTTCTTACTAGATTCTACGTCTTTACCTATCAGTTTAACCAGGTTCACGAGTATCAAGTTTCAAATTAGTACCTATACCATTCTTTAATAAAACTAAATGAATAAATGTCCTACCTCTTTCAGACCTGGTGTCCACAATTGAGGACACAACATTTAAAACCAAAAGGGCGAATATCAGAGTGGCACATAAAGAAAGACCAATTTTCCTCAAAAACTATACTATGAGGATTTTTTAAAATTTTGTCCATACTAATTTTAGTCCAAGTTAACCCGAAAAATTAAATTACATTAGTACGAGAAACAAAAATAATTCAAGTCTGAAAACGTCAGAGATAAATATACACAAATTTTTAAAATTAATCTATATCAGCAATAAACAGTACAATCAATATGTACTGTACATGGACACGATCACAGCTGTCACAGCGGTCAGTTACATGATTGATCGTGTTCGCTTCCTAATATCACCAAATGAAGACTTGCCTCTAGAGCCTAAGTTCCTGCTGGTTCTAATCAGCCAGCGTTTTTTCTTATAAGAATATACGCTTAAGGCGCAGTTTTCTGAATCAGCCTCACTAATAAGCCCTTCCAGAAGCCCGCCATAAAACGCCAAACCTCTTTTTTCGAAGAGTAACTACTAGATTATAGCCTCTTCCTGATGTACCTCTGGAAAGACAATCGACGAGACCCAACATAAAACTTAAATCACCGATAGTAACAAAAACATCGCGAAGGCGAATCCTACCTATACAATTAATCTTCCATTTGTGGGATACGTCTACCTTTGCTAATCCCTAAAAGGCCAGCAGTAGATGTACGTTGATTCGCAAATAAATGACGTCTCCGATCTAACGAGACTCTAACGTTTTGTTCCAGGTGCCCTTTCGCAGTCCCAGTTTCCGGTGTTCACGATCTACGCCCAGAAGAGTTGCCTGGCGGTGAAGCCTTGCGAGCGAGCCTGGTGCATCGACAGGGTTCAGGGGCACAGGCTCCAGAGCCACACGCGCAGATCTATGACCGCCTCCTCGCGACAGCACTGCCTGGAGCTCTGTTTAGGCGAGAGGGACTTCCTGTGCCGGTGAGTATCGTCATGGCTATTTTTCGTTGGCTGCATAGCGAATCCTATTCGACGTACGATCGTTTCCCGGGTACAACGTGGTTCTTTTTCGTCGTTGTCGCGTGCACGATATCCGCCAGCGGAAAAGGCGGACGCAGTCGTCGCCGAGATTCGTCGCGAATCGACGTACAGCACGGTTCTTCTCTTCGTCTCCCTCGAGTAGGTCTTCGAGAATCGAAGGCACCTCTGCACGCTCCGGTGCGTTTTCCAGTTATTGGATTCTTCGGTCGAGGGACGACGTTACATCACGCTCCTATAGACTCTCGAGTGTTTCTCGGTCATGAAGCGGCCGTCCCCGACGTTTCATGCGAGCTGGAACACCAAAGGGAACGAGCTATCCTTCTGGAAAAGTTGCAGAGAAATAGCTCTGGGCCACCTTGATTCCTCGTGTGTTTGCCGTTTTACGAGACGGGTATTCGCGATTTCTGCTCCGAACGACGGGAGTCGACTCTATTTAAATATTTTTCACGCGTATTCTAACCCGTCTACGTCTCGTCGAGCGATATTTCTCACCCTTGCGTTGGTGTTGCGTTACATCTCGCGTGAATATTCCAATAAACAATTTTAATTGAACTAGATTTCATTAAAAACAGGTCGATGCGAGATGTCTAATTGTGCAGGTCTCTAAATTTGCTAGTACATAATTAAAGTTGTCTGGTCAAACTTTTCCTTTGTGTTCATGTAAACATGTTGAAACTAAGAGTGCAACGACGATGATGTAATAGGGCAGGAAGTCGTTTGGATACCAGGATGGCAATTTATGGACGTTTATCCGAATTTATAATTAAGGTCATTACCCAGTTGGACTTTTCATTCGTGTCCATGTAAATGAGCAAAGCAGCTGGATATCGCTTTAAGTATGCGGCTGAAAACGAGTCTGGCTCACGGTGTACTCATTACGTTGCCAGTGGAGTGTAACAGAGCATAATCAGACGCTTCTAAAGAGTATCGTGGAATTATCATTCCGGTTCCTTATAAGTAGGGGAAAAATCGTGGATGAACTACAAACTGTGATAAACACGCGAACAGGATAATTTAACATTCTAATAATATTACAAAACAAATTTTTTCAAAATTATTCGAAAATACGATCCGAATAAACATTCGGAACAATTTCGGATAAATGTGTATATTGTTGTTGTCTCTAGTATCAATCCGCAACATTTCACGAAATAAATCGGGTTTTCGTCCACATTTCTCGACTCCAATGAAAAATAGTATCGCGTTCAAATTGAAATGTTCTGTATGTATCCAATGTTTCAGATTTTTCTATATCGCAAATTGTTGGTCATTGTTTGAAAAATGAACGATAGATAAAGAATCTGATACGGAAACTTTCTTTTTTCGCATGTAGATGATTATTTTCAAATTCCGTCGCAGGTTTACTAAATCAATTATAAATGATATATACAACGTTTTATTAGTTTAATAATTTTGTAGTTTCAATGATTGGTTCAAATTTTTATCAAATTTGAGTTCCTATTTTCTAAACCATTTTCCTAATAAAAGTATTCTCGACGAATCTCTACAAGAGTAATCGTTTGTTTCGCTTTGAAATGAAATCCCCTTTTTTATAGGTGAATTCTCGTTACAGCCTCTGCGTACCTGCGCTTTAGTCGTTCGGTGTTAAATCACTCATCTTTTGATACGTTCTTTCACAGGGAGATGGGCACAAAGTGACGTGTAGCTTTTCGCAAACACTACGAGGACAGATCGATGAAGTGGTTTTGAAGTCAATTAGGAACACTATACCGTGAAGAATGTTAGGTAAAAGTGGGCAGAGCAAAGAGACAAAGAGGATGCCCGCGCGTTTCAATTATACGCTATCGGGCCATTTTACCAGCTGGATTTTTCCTGCCTGTAAAAGCGTAGGAGTTTCCTCTGGCGCAAAACGATCGCATCTTCGATTCCCTTTGTCGGACAATTTATTTTTTTCCTGGTGTGTAAATATTTGAAGCTAAATAAATGGGACACAGGAAACTTTTGAAGTTGGGTAGTCGTTCGGATGCGTCGAATGGTACTGCAGCTGTCCCTTTATGTACAGCTCAGTATAATTGCCAATGCAACTACAGAAAAGCTAACTCTTGGTCCAAAAATAACCGAAAAGTGCGAAATATTTTTTTTTTTTTGATCGAGAATTTGGGGAGTTAAATTAAAAAATATACAGAGAAGATGTTTCAGAACGTATAAAAGTATTTATAAATGACATATTTTCAATGGTTTATTACTTGGAAGAAAAAAACCTTGTCAATATAGATAAAAATGTTCTTTTCCATTTTCCAATCTGAAACTTCGTTATCAAGATACAAGCAGTTGAAGTTTTTGCTAGGACTTGTATTTCTCGTGCGTGGGCGCATGCGCAGCTGTGCGATCAGCTGACTAGCGTGCGTCAAAAGTCACGTTAATAAGCTTTAACTCTTTATATCTTGACAACGGAGCATCAGATTAGAAAATGGTAAAGACTTTTTGATATGTTTCCAATCGAGGAACTAATCCCGAAGAAAGCTGTTTTCGTTAACAGAAAATAAATATTTTCTTAAAATTCCATTCAAGAAACAAAATAGACTATTTGTCAGTAAATAAAAAAAGTCTATCTGGGACCGTAATGAAATTAATGTTAATTCTATTCCAATATATAGTAAATGCTTGTAAAAACAACAAACTAATCCCCCGTCAATTCCTGCATATACAAGCTTGCAAATAAATATCACTTCAGAATAAATCACATAAATTTCCCCACTGCTGATCATCTAATCTATGAAAAGGTTGCAACGAATTCCACAACCCCGAGGTCCGTCGCATCGCAACATTCCCGCGGACCGTTATAAGCTGTCCATCGGGTAGCTCGCAGCGGGTACTCGGACTAAAAGGTTAATTAATAAACAACTGCGTCATAATCGTGACAAGCAACAATATGTCCCGCAAACGAGCCGCGACAACAGAGACCATTAGACGTATCGCGGTGGCCGATACGCTCGAACGCGCGCGAAAAGGCTTATTTTACATTCGTCCGGTAATTACGAGGCGATAGAGGGACACAACGGTGTTTAAGGTATTCGAATCCATTAGGAGCGTGAAATATCGACGTCCAGGAAGTATGCGGAAGGGCGCCACTGCGGGACCCGTGGCGCTTCTTCCGATTTCGATAGAAACCGTGCGCTGGAACGCACGTTTATGCGATATCACGCCGACGCGTCAAGCCCCGCATTCGCCAGAGCACGCCGAACGTGCACATGCACACCTTGAAAAGAACCTAAAGCGAAAGGTCTCTGCCAGCTGGTCGCTCACGACGACCCTCGAGCTCCGCTTCGACCTCAGGCAGGGTCGAGAGGTCCTTGCCCAGGCGGAACCGTATCAAAAGTGGCGTAGCTATGCGTTCATGCCCGAGAAACCAACGGAAAGGGGAACAGGAATTTCATATCTTCGCAGAAACGAATCAAGTTCCCGATTGAAAACTCTTACGTGGCCCTCGCGGTCTGTCTGTATCGTCGCGAGATTTCGTTCTGTTTAACTTTCCGCGTCGGAACGTCGACCCCTTCTTTCTTCGTTACATTTTATCCACGGAGTAGAAAAGCCAGTGAGGTATAATTCAGGTGTCGAAATGATAAACGATGCACACGCAAGCGAATGTTTTTGGTACGAATTGGAAAAATAGTTTGAGGATTTTTGTGTTCACATTGTTTATCGCTGGAACGATGTGTATTGTCAGGGATTAGAAATTTTATAGAGACTCGAAGACACTCTTAGATACTTTCATTCTTCCCACTATATCTTGTGGGGGCTGAAATAAATTATTCTAGCAGCGGGAAAGTAAAAAAAAAATTAAAAGATCTTATGAATTTTTGGAGCACTTACGTGATTTACATTGACACTGTTTTTACAATGAAACGGAAACGGTACTATTCATTAAAGTCTAAAAGTATAGTAAAATACAGGAAGTATCGCCCACATACGTATGTGTCAACGAAGCGAGTACGGAATAGAAACAGAAATAGCTACGAGCAAACACTTAACGTGCCTAGGACAATTGATTGACAAAACAATTCTGCGACAAAATCCATTTCGATAACAAATGACAACGGTACGTTTATCCATAACTTCCTCATACTTCTGAAGGAAACTAGTAAACAGGGAAATGTTGGATTGAATCTACTAATTTGCACCTATTTGTGCATAATCTATATGCACAGTCTCTATGTATAGTCTTACAAAATTGTCCATACAGTAGAATCTCTTTCATGTTTCATTTTTATAATTTTAATTCGCATGTTTGTCAAAATTATTTCAATGTCAGATATATATTTTCTTTAATTACCTATTTGGATTAATACAAAAAGAACCTACTATCTGACTTTGAAACAATTGTGACAAATATCAAAATATAAATTACAGAAATTGAATTATATACATGTCAGAGACTAGAAAGCTATTTGTATTAATACCTACAAGCAATTAAAAAAAGAAATCACCTTTTTTGCCATATGATGTATCACACAGTAACAGCCCCTACACCTTACTCAGGCACTTTGATAACCACGAAGAGGTCCAAGAAGATAAATCAACGGCTCGAATAAAATGCTCGGAGGCATCGTGTAATAACTGTTTTGCACCGTGCAACCGTTGGTTCCGTTTAAGTGTTCTGTTTCTCGTGACTCACCGTGTATACGTTCCCCGTGAAAATATTACCTCATGTAAAAGGGACGAAGTCGTGACCACCCGGAGAAACTTAAGAAACCGAGTAGGCTTCGCGGTTCCCGCCAGAAACGCGGAAGAGATCGCGAGAAGGAATCTGACGTCTCCATTAAAACTGGAAGGGCTCTCGTAGTAGGAAGAGGTTTCGTCGTCTCGGGGTTGTTGTATGGCTGCCCGTCGAGGATAATCGAGAAAAGCCACTAGAACGTTATTGCGCAACAATATGTGCGTGCAGCAGGCGAAATGGGTTGTCTTGGCGCTCTGCTTAG